TCCGATCCTATCTTTCCGACCGCTCCTTCCGAGTTCGCTGTGGCACCGAATTCTCCGACTGTTACTCAATTGAGGCTGGCGTTCCTCAAGGCAGCGTCTTGGGCCCCATCCTTTACATTCTCTTTACCGCTGATATTCCTGTCCATCCCGATACCCTCCTGGCAACTTTCGCTGATGACACTGCTATCCTTTCTTCCAACTCAGATCCTGAAACAGCGTCCGCAAACTTACAAAGGCACCTCTTCCTGATTGAACACTGGTGTAAGAAATGGCGCATTAAGGTAAACGAATCTAAATGTAAACACATTACCTTCACCCTTCGGCGTAATACCTGCCCACCAGTTTATTTTAACTCCATCCAGCTTCCTTTCTCAGATACAGTCCGGTATCTTGGCTTTCTCTTAGACAGACGACTAACATGGAATCCACATACTCGACTTAAAAGACAGGAACTTAACAGACGATATGGCCAGCTATATAGACTACTGAATAGAAAATCTAAACTTTCTGGTGAAAACAAATTACTGATCTACAAGACAATACTGAAACCCATCTGGACTTACGGACTAGAACTATGGGGAACAGCCAAATTTTCTAACATCAAACGCATTCAATCCTTTCAGTCTAAAGTCCTCCGTACAATAGTCAATGCTCCCTTCTATGTAACCAATAAAACCCTACATCATGACCTTAATATCCCATTTATTCTTGATCTTATCCCAGCCAAATTTTCCAAATTTCACCAGAACCTTTCTCATCACCCAAATCCCGTTGTACAATCCCTATCAAGCACCACCCATCCCTACAATCCCCTTCGTAGGTTAAAGCGGCAGTGGCCACGAGACCTTTTGTAAATATGGATATTTTGGAGTTCTAGCAATGGCCAGATTCTCCACTCAAGTCATGAGTGTCTGTGGCTGTAGCGCTCTTACTCATCCTCCGCTGGTTTAAAATACCAGTGAAGTGGCTGAGGGAGAAGCGTAGGGATCTCCTAGGCCTCCCTTTTCCCTCCACATGTGGAGGGGACAGGATTGGTTCGGAGATCACCTGGCAAATTGTAAATAATGTATGTTTTATATAAGGTGTTTGTTTTACTTTTATTTCTATTTTTATTTACTTATGTGTATATATATTTTTTTTTTCTTTACTCTTTTGTTCTTTCTTCTTATTCTTTTGCTACTACTTTATTTATTTATATTTTTGTATATACGGTATGAATGCAATCTCTGAACTCTATTATAAGTGTCCTTAACTGTGACAAATTGTAATATTTCTGAATAAAGTGTTTTTAATAATAAAAAAAAATATGTGAAGTTTTGTGTTATATCAATAAAACCACAGAATGCATTGGAAAACATCTATTTACGGTTTCGTTAAAACAATTTTAATGGATTGATTGTTCAGTGCATTGATTGATTTCGTCGATTGACTTCTGCGCAGTTGACGCAGCCAGGTTGCCTTCGTAAAGTTCTTGCCAAAGAGTGGTCGCATCGATTTGGTCCACCTCTTCTTCTGTAAGAGACTGGTACTTGGTCTGGTCAGCGACCAGTTGCTGGTTGAGGGCCAGGTTCAAGTCTCTGTAGGCAGGACCTAACTTGGTGGCGATGCAGACCTTCTGCAATGGAGAAGTGGCTTTGAGCATGGCGTCCCTCGAAGCGATCTGGATTGCGTTGTTGTCTTGCACTCTCACCACGGAGTTCGCTTCGTGCATCGCTTTGCTCAGCTCCTGTCTCGTAACTGCTCCAGTCTGCAAGAGAATTTCGTTAATTATAAACTTTATAAAAAAAAGTATTGAATATTTAATAGTTGCCCGTTGCAATATAAAGGAACGAGATGGTCCGGGTGGCGGTCATAAATATGCTAAATAGTGGTAAAACTGTTTTATTGAAAGCCAACGTTTCGACCCGACTTTGCAGGTCTTCATCAGGGCTAGAACGGACAAGATACAAAAAGATAGAGAATTGTGGCGATTACATAATATTTAGACAAAATTTGTAAACAATGTGAATATGAACAAAATAAGCTAAGTAACAAGATCCTCAACTGAAGTAAATAGATGCTAACAATTGTTGTAATGTAATATATAATAAATGCAAATGTGAATATACTTCTATAGATCTACTGGAGAGATTGAAAGAAAAGGAAAGAGGATATAATATGAAATAATAGACATAAAGGAATGTGGAGAAAGAAAAGAAAGGGAAACCAAAAATTAAATAAATAAGTAAATAAAATGAAAGAATAAAATTATAGATTTGCAGGTGTGTTCAGCTAGGAGTTTCACTTAGAACTGGAAAACCAGGGGTAAGGGCAGGTATAAGGGAAGCTGACTTGTTTGGGTAATGGGGAAAAACCTTGAAAATTACAGTATCTAAAATTTGAAGATATGGATGGATACAATGGAAAAATACTATATCTATGAAATATTAAATTATAAATATATACATATACATATAAAATAGAATCAATAAGCTCTGAAGAAGACCTGCAAAGTCGTGTCGAAACGTCGGCTTTAAATAAAATAATTTTACCACTGTTTAGCCTATTTATGACCACCACCCCGGACTATCTCATTTCTTTATAAAAAAATACATAAATAATAGAATAAATGTCAAGTTTGGCATCCCTTAGATATCAATGGTCATAAAGTTTTCTCTAATAAATTTCTCTTCTATTTTATAAAATAGTTTGGTAATTATCAGTAAAGATTATATTGTAAATTAGTAAGATTTCATAATTGGGTAATGTGCTTCGTAGATGAAGGTTATGTTAGGCTGTAAATTAGAAACAAAATAACCAAGAGGCAGAACTTAAATGATAGGTTATTATTGGAAAAATTCCAAACCATACAGCCTTGTTTCTCCAAAATGCAGGAAAAAAGAAAACCCGTCAACGTTTCGTCAAGTCAGACATCACCAGGACAGAAAAAAAAACAGTTAATAGAGCACCATTCCATAAAACAGCTGTTAAGGGAAACAAACGACTAAAAAAAAAGTATGCAATATCCAATCAAAAATCAGAAATATTTTATAAAATAATATTAAATAAATAAATAACTATAAACTTAAAAAAAATTAAATTTTCTTTTTTTTTCTCACTACTTTATATATTGTTTTATTTATAATTATTTATTTATTTAATTTTATTTTTTTAATGGTTTTTGATTAGATAATGCATACATTTTTTTTAGTCGTTTGTTTCGCTTATCAGCTGTTTGATGGTAACCTCAGGATTTCATGAAGTGGTGTTATATCAGCTGTTTTTTTCTGTCCGGATGATGCCTGAATTAGCGAAACGTTGGTTTTTCTTTGCCTGCATTTTGTAGAAATAAGGCTGTATGTTTTGGAATTTTCCCAAAAATAACCTAGTGATTATATTAAGATATAACATTAAAAATCCACAAGGTGTCGAATTTTTCAGATGCATATTTACAAAGACGTATGTATCAAAAACATTATATTTCCTCATGATCAAGTAATTCTAATTTAAGATAGAGAGGACATAAATTTATGAGGACATGAATAGTAGGGATTGAAATTTATTTTTATTATTAAAAAATACTTTAATTTTTATCGAAGTAATTGATTTTTCAGATATGAACATATGTATTTAATATCAGACAATGAAGAAGAAATCGCTGATCTCAAATTAAGTGATATTTTATTATAGAAATGTTATATTTGGATTTTAAAAGTGTCATTAAAAAAATTATGTTTTAGACAAAAAATTATTTATAAATTATTCAATGACTTTTTTTTTAGCAATTACAGATTAGTTGGAAATATTTTATGGTCAATAATATGGCTTCTATACTTTTGTTCCGTTGGATTCGTAATCTAAGACACCACTGTGCTTCGATACAATAAGTAGAGTTCAAGTTATTCCGATGGTTTAATGAGTTTTTGCTTTAATTTTACATATTTTAACAATTTACTCGAAAATTGCTCTAGCGAATTTTACTAAACCAGTCATATCAATCTACAATTAAATGATATTTAATATCAAATATGTTCCTCATTAAAGTACTCTAACGATTAATTTAGTCATAGACGATATAGTTTAATGATTGAAGTACTACTCACCAGACAGAAGCAGAAAGCAACTAAACTAATGCAGGCCAGATACTTGTTCATGTTGCTGTGTTGTGTTGATGCAGGATCTATCCTCGCACCGCATTATATACACTCTTCCGAGATAGCAATCGACTTAGATAAAAAGAACAAACACATTGCTCATTCCAGGTTACGTATTCTATAACTGTTACGTTAATTCTGCAGCGATAATGATCTTATTAAACAGTAATTTGGAGATTTTGAATTATGTACATATAAAGAGTATCTCGTAACCAAAGAGAAAGATTCAAAAAAGTTATTGTGTACCTCGGAAAAATAAATTTATTAAACAATGTGCCGATTTTCTGCAGAAAATTAGGAAATTTTGTGTGTGTTTTTTTTTTGTAAATTAGAAGCTATAAAAAAAGAAATTAATTGAAGTAATTCGAAACTGGTTCATAGTAAACTAGACAAAATTTATTTCAATTACAAATAGAGCTTCATTTGAAGTCATCTAACTCTTTAATGATGTTCTCTGTCTTTTAAGTAGCTGAAATACGCTGTTTTTCTTTTTTTTTTTTTTAAACATGAATTATTCAAGATTTTTTTTTTAGTTAAAAATTCTTTAGGCGCAGTTTTCTCATTTTTTTGTGGAGAGCGAATCAAATTGAGCTGTCAGATTTCCGATGTGTAACGCTCGGGTAATGGCAGCTGGAGTTAATTAAAGTGTTTTTGCATATGGATTAAAATATTTCAAAAACTAAAAACCGAACTTGCGTATTGTTAGCGTGAGAAAAAATGTCATCCTCTTTGTAATGAGCTATTATTCCTAATTGTATCTTAACGCGGCGTCGTGTTAAGGACGCGAAAAGGAAAAAAATAGTGTCGAAAATCACAAGACAAGGAGTGTTATGGAAGATATGGATTAAAATATCTCAGAAACTATAAATTGGATAAGTATAATTTATGTTTCGCAATGGGTGGGGTGGCCGAACGAACTAACGCATATGCAATACTCGTGTTATCTGGCAAAATGATAATCTGTTAAGGTTAAGTTAAGGGCTAGGCTGTTCGCATTCACACGAAATTATAATTATCTACCACAAAACTAATTAAGTTATATTTTCACTACCTCATACGAAGATTTTACATATTCGAAATGGTATGTTTCTAAATTCTTATTAATTGAATATTTTTCGTATTTAAATGTTTTGATAAACTTATAATACATTAGTTTTAAATTTCTAATAATTTGCTGTATTGAGGAAAAAATTCACGAGCCGATTTGGTAAACTTTTTTTAAATAGATTTTTTCCAGGTGGGGCAAGTTTAATTTTATTTCTCCTACTTTTACTCCCCGCCCTCTGCCATATCAAGTATTTTTGGGGGGGGGGGGTGGCCGAGAGGGCTAACGACCCTGCGATACTTGGTAACCTGATAAGCGAAGTAAGAGATGGAAAAATAATTAAGAGTTCGAATCCCGGTGCCCGGAGGGACTTTAACTCATAATTCTACCACCCTCTCCTGCGGCCTGTGAAAAAAAAACAAAAAAAAAACGTGTAGCCTAAAAGGCAAGAACAAACAAAAAGGAGAGAACAAAATAAAAGTAAGGTATCTCGAAAGAAATATCATCAACATCAGACAATGTTAACTCGTGTCATTGACTAAATTAAATGTTAAAGCAACCTATCCCATCTCTTGTTCAGACTCTGATTTCGACTATTTTTTTGCTAAAACGTTTGGATCATTGATTCCTAAGGGATGCTCTATCCGCCATTTTATAATAATATTTCTGTTTATTTATTTAATATTTTATAATTAACGAAATTCTCTTGTAGACTGGAGCAGTTACGAGACAGGAGCTGAACAAAACGATTAACGAAACGAACTCCGTGGTGAGAGTGGAAGAGACAAACGCCATCCAGCTCGCCTCGGTGGATGCCTCGCTAAGAGCCACCGGTCCATCGCCACCAAGTTAGGTCCTGCCTACAGAGACTTGAACCTGGCCCTCAATCGGCAACTGATCGCTCATCAGACCAAGTACAATGCTTTTCCAGAAGAAGAAGTGGACAAACTCGATCCGATCTATCTGTGGGATGATCTGTACGATGCCAACATGGCCGCATCGACTATAAATGAAGCAATTGAAGAATTCAATCAATGTCTGAATGTTGCATCAAGTGATGAAGTTTGTAAATAGATTTTTTTCTCATTCACTCTGTAATTTTATTGAAAATCCTTATAAACCTCACACAAATTTTAATACATAATAATAAGGGTTCAGTAATTACAAAGGAAGTACTGTTTCATGGCCATCGGTTGTGTAAAGGTTGTACATGGAGGTGGTTGGGCCGAGATCATGCAGAATCGCCAGACTTGCTAAGGTTTTCCATGGTTCCGTATAGCTGCATATATATTGACCTCATTTGGAGAGGGTTAGATTAGTCACCTTTGCTGAGAGTAGAACCTGCACATTTGCAGTATATGGTCTGCATTCACCCTCTCCGCAGTCGCAGAGGTGACAAGAGCCAGTACTTAATACAATTACTTAATACCTAAGACAACGTAGTACTTAATAAGTTAAATGTATTTATAAACTTATATTAATTTAATTTAAGAAATTTAATATTATTAAAATTGGTTATACTAGTTAGGTCGTTTATTTCCAAAATGGACTCTAGTCCTCAAACTTCCTCTTTGTTCTTAACTGAAAGAGCCATTATTATATTGATCCGGAATTAGCGTATGGAATTGATGAAATTGTTACGGAGCATCTAGATACTAACCAACTAGATACTTGATACCAACCCGCACAAACCCATAATTTCATCAAAATGTAAATGGACAATTAATAGAATTTGTTAATTTATGTGGCACATGGATTTGTCAACAAACTGGCGTGCAATCCTCATTTCTTGAGATCTAAAACAAAAAAATTCTTGAACACAAATATAAAGTTTTCCACCTTTGGTTGTGAGGAAGCAATATATATATTATATTTTCCGAAAATTAAATATATATATATTTTTTTTTTTTTTAAGTATCTGGAATTCTAAAGAGGGAGGGGAGAATAAAAAAAAAGTTAGCTATAAAATTAAATTTACCTCTTAAATCACGGTGCAGGTTTCTGACTAAGGGAAGATTCATTTCCACCCCTAACCATTGACAACAACATAGTCCCTACAAAATCTACATACGGTATTGAGATACCTGAGTCTGAAGACTCTACTTAAACATAAGAATTACTTGGAACATACATCCAAAATGAAAATCACAACAACCGTTAAGATGATATTATCTATCACCTCTTACAAACACACTTAAACAAAATAAAAATAACACAATAAAAAATTCTTCGAAAAATTGTCATCGCACCTTGGTATATTTCAGATCATACTATACACAACAACTAAACATTTCAATAATAAAATCTTAAATCCACGACAAATACACAGTTCATACTTCAACTCAAAATGACCCTATTGTACTCTTCCTATTGATTTCCTCCTTCCAGTTACCTTTTCGACGTAGATAAAAAAGAAAAAAAAAACCTGGTGTGTTAAAAGAAGTGAAATAACTAACGAAAAACCATCATAATGGACAACCTCTAAGGAAGAGAACGCTGAAGAGCAAACCAGACCAACTAACCCAGAAAACATGGCACATATGAACGGAAACAGCAGCACAACGTCCTTATGAGGAAGTTCTGCAGGGAAAAGAAACTTCATAATTTAAAAGAAGAAACGAAATAGTAGCGTGATTTTGAGTGTTCAATTCACAAATAAAAAAATATAAATATAAAAGTTAATAGATACAAATAGGTAAATGAAAATAAAACAAAATATACGATAGAAAGCTGAAAACTCTATCCTAGTTAACTAGATCTGCAAAATCGTTACCGAGAGGAGAAAAATTCAAATATTTACGATATGCCACCATATAAAAAATAAAATAGATCTTTGTCCAAAACAGCTGTACAATTTTTATTTATAACTTCTTATCCTATATATTATTTCAAAAAGGTGTTTTTTGTTGCCATAACTTCGTCAATTCTTCATCAAATCCAATGATTGAACACTCAGATTGAAGATATTCTTCTCCTTCATATACCAAAAATAGTCCTATTCTCTCGAAATTTCTGTTATGAAGGAAATGAAATTTTCTGGCGAATAACTCAAGAAGTATGCATTTTTTCATGGATTGTACCCATAATAATTAGAAAGATTACTAAATTACCTACAAAACAAACAAAAAAAAATCGGACAATTATTAACAAAGATACAGTCCACTAGTTTTGGTATACTTAATAATGTCTTCCTGTTTAAAGATATTGCATTTAGGAGTAGAATAGTCTACTACACTTTTTTTCCTAGCTGATAAATTAATTTTCTTATTTCTTAAAGACATTTGGTTGTTCTATTTTATTATTTCTAATAATTTAGAAAATTCCATGATCGGGGCATTATTTTGTCTTTATTACTTTTATTATCTTTCCAGTCAGCATTTAAAAATAGGTTCTAGTAGAGCAATTTGTACAAATATCTTGGTCTGTTATGTTTAATGGAATATTGTAATCGACTAAGGAAAAAATATTAATTCCTTCCTTACATAATACATAGCAACTACTTATTTCCAAATTGTTTTGCTATTTCTTCACTAAACAAATTTTTTTTCCAATTATTCGCACGGGCCAACTAGTATTTTATAATGAGGACCTGAAAAGTATATAATTATAGTAATAAATCAATGCAGTAATAGTTAGCTGTGTACCTCGAATTTAAGTATTAATTTAACTTTTTTTGTGTGTATTTTTTTATTCTTAGAGGCATATCTATATATATATCCTATTATATGAAGGTGATGTGGATAAGATGGGTGGAACATCTTGCTCGATACAAACCATTGGGAATGCTCTTCGCAACATCGAAAATCTTAATAGTTGGCAAGAGTCCACTTGGAAAGCCAAAAACCAGATAATTCAGAGCAACTAGAAATCGAAGCTAGATAGAGGTGAAAATGGCTATTCAAGGTGGCTAAAGATTTGCAAAGTCTATAAAGTCCTAAAAAGAAAATCGTGAAAAATGGGTGGACTAACATACTAACATACGTATGTATATAGTACTTGCAATAGATAATCAAAGTTAAGCAACGACGAGCGTGGTTAGTACTTGGATGGGTGACTGTCCACCAGGGAAGGCCAAGCTGCCTGAGACTCCATCCCGGTTATGTGAGCTCCGTCAGTCTACTGGAGGCAACTTGTACCTACCAGGCGTAGGACTGATGACCCTAGCCCGCGTACTTAATCAGAAATTGGGACGTGGTTTAACATGATGTCAGTAGTCCCTCTGAGGTCCACATACGTTTTGTTTCAGGTAAAGAAATATAGGTCCTCGTGCGCCTGCTGACTCTAAGCAGCCATAATCCATGAATCTAGAACGATTTGTCACTGTCCTTGAACCCGAGTGAGTCGGTAGGAAGGAACTGTCTATGGACCTATACCCCTGGAGCCAGGGCCCAAAAATCGACTCGATCGCAGGCGAAGGCTTGATTGTAAATTACGAAAGTGTATGTTATTCTGAGTAAAAAAAACCTTGTCTGCCGTTCCGGAGCCACTGCTTTCAAAAATAGCGGCTGATTTAAAGAATATTAGACCAATAATTTGAGGATCGAAACGGGAAATCCATTGCGAAAAATGTGAGAAAAGTTTCTATTTTTTTAACTTGTATATATGGGTTTAGACATGTAAAAAACAAAATTGCTAACGCAGGAAACCAAGGAAAAACTTTGTACAGCCAAAAAAGTCAGATTTTTTGGGTTTTTCATCTATAACTCCTAAACAATGCATCAAAGCGAAAAATGTGTTCTTTAATAAATTAAAGAACGTTAAATTTTGCGTCAAACGAGTACATATACTTTGAAATTTGGTTTCGCGGTAAGGTATAAAACCACGGTCAACCAACTCCGAGTTTTACCAAATTTGCCAAAAACTGGGACAAATTACTATAAATGGCCCTGTAACTTGGAAATGAGTTCCCTAAGATCAAAAACCTATAGAATCAAAGTTGTAGAGCATCAAATTTTGCTCATACTGGGTGCTGACGTTTTTATTGTTGGCCAATTATATATCTCGAATCGGAATTCGTTATTCCTTCATAAAATTCGGTATCTTTCGGCACATCGTTTACCAAAATCTTTTGCTATTGAGAGGTGGAAACGAGACTTATACTGCATGTAACAGACTTTAAACAAAACTAACTTAGTAGAATAGACACCCATACTATTGAAATATTGAAAATCACCTTTACCTTCATTACCAATACAGAACCATCGGGAGATTACCGATTTTGTTCGCAGAAAGTGACTTACATTAAATCAGTTGATACTGACTATACGCGAAATTTGATGCTCTACAACTTTGATTCTATGGGTTTTTCCTCTTAGGGAACTCATTTCCAAGTTATAGGATCAATTATAGTAATTTGTCCCAGTTTTTGACAAATTTGGTAAAACTCAGAGTTGGTTGACCGTGGTTTTATACCTTACCGCGCGAAACCAAATTTTAAAGTACATGTACTCGTTTGACGCAGAATTTAACATTCATTAATTTATTAAAGAACACATTTTTCGCTTTGATGGATTGTTTAGGAGTTATAGATGAAAAACCACAAAAATATCGAAAAAATCTGACTTTTTTGGCTGTACAAAGTTTTCCCTTGGTGGCCTACGTTAGCAATTTTGTTTTTTACATGTCTAAACCCATATATACAAGTTAAAAAAATAGAAACTTTTCTCACATTTTTCGCAATGGATTTCCCGTTTCGATCCTCAAATTATTGGTCTAATATTCTTTAAATCAGCCGCCATTTTTGAAAGCAGCGGCTCCGGAACGGCAGACAAGGTTTTTTTTTACTCAGAATAACATACACTTTCGTAATTTACAATCAAACCTTCGCCTGCGATCAGGTCGATTTTTGGGCCCTGGCTCCAGGGCTACTACGTGTGACCCATGGAGACCGTGGTTGGTATTGCCCAAATGCTAAGACTCATCTTGGTTTTGCGCAATAATTTTGCGCAAGAGTCTCGCAGTTACTTATTACCTTATTACTATAGAGAGATTACTCTAATTGTTTAAGATTGGAGAAACTAACTAAATGAAAAATCAGAAGAGTTAAATGCAAAAGTATATTGGTTATACCAATT